TTCACTTCACCTGTCAGTGCTCAGAATGTTATGGCTGATCAGTATATGTCATTCATTTGCTCATTTGAGTCCATTTTTACATTCTTTAAATGAAATTCTTGAAGAAGGTGGCATCTTGCCAGCTGGGGATCCTGGCTGCAGATGCTGAAATCAACCTTATTTAGCTGGCTTTACAGAAAGAGCAACCTTTGTATTTTAAATACAGTTAAATAAAAAATTTCCAGGAGTGTAACAAAATGGTTTTATTCTTTTATCACCAATATTACAAATATTAAATATCTACAAGTTACACACGTTTCTTAAGAAATCTCTTATTAATTTTTTTTAACAGTAATTGACAATACACAATAAGAACAGCACATGTCAACTAATAATGATAATAGCAAAAAAAAGGACAAAGGAAAAGATGTGATAATACAAGAGTTGTTATTGAAAAAATTTAAATTCCATAGTCCAAGCTGGCTAAAGATGCAGATCTGGACCACCTATGGACTGTAGTTTATGCATGCAATGTACGAGGACTGCGTAGGCCGTCACTGGGCCAGACCAAGTTTGCAATGTGGGGAACTTAAATTTGGGCAACCATAGGACACATTGACTTGGTCTGAAAATGAAATTGTCATTCAGACTAGATAATGCATAGTGCAGTTAATGTTATTAGAAGAGTTTCATTTGAACTAGGAAAATCTATCACAAAAAAAGGAAATGGAGGAGACAGATAATGAAGTATAAAATGCACATATCAATATACAAATTGTGAGTTAAGAAAGGCTGAATATAGAAATATGTGAGCACTTTAGAATGCCCAGCGTTAAAATGATATATAAATAAAGGAATAAAAAGAAAAAAACATATATGCATGTGTACAATATCCAGATATCCAGTAGTTTTGTCCACCCAAAGTGGAAAGTTTTTACACCTGACGACATCTGTGCGTGGCTCTAGTCTGAGGGCCCGGCAGTGCGGATGCTGCTAGTGCTGCTGGATGTCCCACTCTCCCCTGTAGACAGCAGAGCTGGTGCGGTGTCTACCGCTTCCTCCTCCTCCAGGGGGAGACAGAAGTTAGTAGGTTTGTTCTGAAATATTAAAATATTCTTCTATCACATTTTAGTTTTTGTTTTTTTTTTCGCCCCAATGTTTCTGTTTCCACTATAATTGGTACCAAATGACATAATTATTTCCAGGAAACTTTTACAGAAAATGATCAATAAAATAGGAGGATATTAGAGATGGTAAAATAAAGCTTTACAGCTGTCCTTATCAACATGCCTCCTTGTTTGTGTGTTACTCTGCATTTGTAGTAACCGTACCATGTTGGAGTCCTCCAGTGCTTGCATTATTGCTGCCACCACCAGGTTCACCAACACAAACTGGGCCGTAACAGCAAAGGTGCTGTAGTAGATTGGAGAGACCCAGGACAGGTAACTGGAACAGTTGTGATCCTTAGGACAGCACTCCCTCAACGTGTCCTTGAGAGACACAGAGCAAGATTCAGAAAGGAAGAGGGACCGGCACACAGACTGGAGGCTACATCACACAACCTTTCTTACTTTGAAATCTATCTATTGAAAAATATACAAATAAATAAAATATACACTGCTTTGAGTGTAGATGCAACTTGCTACATTTCTGTTTGAATCTGTATTGTTTTCAGCCTCCTTGCTGAAACATATGATGTCTGATTGGGTCTGACTTTAAGGAGCTGAGAATTGTTCAAACTGACTGGATTCAGGAGATTTTGACTGTGACAACAGCTGCACGTTCAGATGCTGCGACCAGAGACGAAATGGGACTCAAACAATGGGAAATCAGAGACTGTCGTGCCCACACCTTTACAGAGACCTGCTCCATCAACATCCTGGATCAACACTCCACTGGTGGACCGTGTTTACCATATTAAAATCTTGTTGCTGCTGTTGATGCAAATGATGACCTGCAGAATTATTTACTAGGTCGTTTACGTGTATACACATGTCTATATAAATAACTGTATAGATTGATTTATTATATTTTATTTTATTATATGCATTAGATTTTCTTTGTCTGTGTGTAGCATGAAGGAACTACAAACTTTCATTTCATTATGCAATTTTGTGTTGAATAATGAATAGATTTCTTTGATTCCTTGAAGATTTCTCTCTAGCCTAAAAGATCTGATGTTACAAGTTGGGATGCAACATTATTCTAACACTTTATTTCATGGATTTGCGGTTTAGAATTTCCTGAGAAGGACAAGACAAGAACTACTTGGTGCTAATTACAGGGAAAACAAGGCTTTCGTTGTAAACTCTGTTTAAACCCAATTAACTTAATTATTAATTCAGTGTACATAATGCATTTTTCATTCATTATAGGAAACACTATTCTTCCTACTGTTGAATCACATGCTGCCTGTTTTCCACTAATACATTCCCTATGTTACACTAACAACTCACTGAAATTAATCATTTGGATTCAGGTCCAGCAGATTCTTGCAGATACCATCAGGATCACTAGGAGGAGC